TGTCAGTGACAAAACGAGAGGAAGAAAAAAATAAGAAGCTGCATGAAAGAGTGTAGCGATTGAGAGAGAAAAACAGCTATAGAATTGAATTGCAGACGTGAACCGTATTTTAAACGTTTTGGAGGGAACAGAAAAAATAAAATTGGACAGAAGAGTCAAATGCTTTCCTCTTTTTTCTGTTGCATCGTTGTGGCATCAAAAGTTCAAACAATGCTTAGATTGCTTCGGTGAAATGAATGAAAAATAAAAGCATGAAAAGTATGAAATAGAAAAGAATGATCCCACGCGGTTGCACAAACAAAAAAGACTCAGAGAGAAAGAGAGAGAGAATAAAAAGCGGCAATATTTATATTTGAAATGGGTCTGACAAAAGGGAAAAAAGCAGACGAAACATCATCAAGCAAATAAATTGGAACAATAAAAGCGCAAATACAGCATCAACAGCCATTCAAAATGAGAGCAAGAACATTTTTTTGCTACGTATGCGCCGCGCGCTAACACAAGACATCATTTTTGTCGAACACTCACGCATTCATAAGTAAAATTGTCAAAAAAACGTTGAAGAATGAATTTTTTGACCGCTGAATAGCGCCGAACATTCAACGAAAGGAACAGAAAAGAAAACCTCTATGCGCCTTTCATTTTTGGAAAAATATATTCTTTTTTTTCGCTCTTTACACAGAATAAAAATGTATATATAACGATTTATAATCATCGTTTATTATCCACGTAGCGATGATGCCATTCACGAAAGAAATCATCATCTTTATTTTCGGGAAAATGCGAACAAAAGCTGTGCCACAAAACGACCATTTCAAGGAGTGACTGGGGCAAAGAAGAACGAGCAACCAAGAGATGGAAAGCAAATTGCCAGGAAATGTGGTGTTTTTCCTAAATAGCAGGAAAATCGTATAATTTCCATGTACAGTAATTGCAAAGGCAGAAAGTTTGATGTCCATGTTTCGAACAGACGATCGATTATACATCGAGCTTTTGAGATATCACTTCTTTTTCTCATTTTTATTACACTCCCTGCTCTTTCTGTTTTATATTTTCATTTTCATCGACTCTTATTGCACAGCAATCAAACCAAGCGGACGCTCGCGAGATACTGTTACGTGTGCCCTCATTCCATTTTTCTATTCATCCGTCAGATCTGTTTGCATGTTTTTACAACGCGTCTCATCTCTTCTAAGAGAATCGAGCATTCTTCTTTTTGGAAGAAAGCAAATTTGAAGCGGGACAACTTGAAAGAATAATAAAAGTAGAAAAAACCAAAAAAAAAAGGAATACAAAAAATTCGGTATATACAGAAGAAGATTTTTGAACGACATGGCACCCATTGCACGTACACCACATCTTTTTATCCAAATCTTTTCCAAACTGAGTTGTCGAACAAATGCGAAATACAAATATTGGAGAGTAATACCACGCACACTCACACACACAAATGAATGAGCGAACGAAGCCGAAGAAAAGTAACGGCGCACATAGCATTCTATGTGCAGATGACGTAGCAAGACGAGACAAAAGCACCAAAGTAAGGTAAATCGCATTGAATCGCATCTTTGTCCGGACGGCTATTAGCATTTGAGGCAGCAAAGGGAATGTTATCATTTTTCTGAGCAAGAGAGAGCGGAACGTGGAATAAAAAGCAGAAAAATAAAATAAAATGTATGTTACAGTTCATTCAATGAACAAAAATATTATTATATTCTGCATAAAGCGCGCGAGTAGAAGAATACGGTGAACATCTGCGAGGGCTAAAAAAACATTGGTGTGCGTCAAGCTAATTTTTCGACAGATCTCGTTTTGCTCATAAGAAAGCATTGGAATATAATTGCAAAGCAAAAGTAGATTGAAATTCAAAAAGATTTTATGAAAATGCAATATTTTCACTTTTTGTGCGTTTCGCGTATTCAATGCTCAAACACGATCCCATTTGAACGCATAATTGACTTTATTTGCGATTAGCATTTATCATTGAAGCAAATACACTTGATAATCTCATCTTTAACATTTTCAACGATATATCCGGTAATAGAAATGTCCACTTCGTGAACCTCTTCCATCAATCTTACGACAAATTTTACGTGTGTTATATAAGGACGGGTAATCATTTTGTTATTGTTATTTGTGGAAAAAGTGTTAAATCTTAGGCGTTAAGCATGAATGTGCAGGTGTGCGTTTGTGTGTGTATGAGAGAGAGAGAGAGAGAGAGAGAGAGAGAGAGTTGTCATTATTCTTATTTCGGCAAATTATACAATGTTGGTGAAGTTCTACAAATGGCTTACTTTTGCAAACCAGTTCGAGCCAACGCTAACAATTTGCGATGTAGCAGCTCAGTGAACGAGTCACATTTGTGTTGGTTGGGTCGTTGATGATGACTCGGAAATTTGTCATTCCGACTGAAAACACATCAGGTTGATTTATTCCATACACACACACACACACACACACACACACACACACACACAAACACACACACACACTCACACACACACACACACACACACACACACACACACAAACTTTACACTTTATATGTGTCTATTTGAGGAGCATTTCAACGAGCTTTTTTCTACTCTTTATTTTTCCTCATTCTTCCGAGATATTCCGTTTCGATTTTCCTGCTGTTGCTGCTTATTTGTGCTCACGTAGTATTACGAACATGTATTTGTGTGTGTGAAAAACTGATAAATATAATATTCTTCGAATAAGTGTTTTTTTATTCTTTTCTCAAAAGGCAACGGCAAGAATTACAAAGGTGACGAATGAAAAATGCTATCATTCTTAAATTTGCATTCCCTTTTCAGTAAAACACACACACACACACACACA